TGCGCCACTGGGGCTGGTGAGTACATAAGAGCTGTCAGGTCTACGGTTGTGAATTCTTCGAAGTAGGGTCTGAACGGGTCTAAAAAAATTTGCCCCAGGCGAGGCTCGAACTCGCAACCCCGGCATCGCTCACAGACACTGTCGTATAAGTACCGTGCGCTAACCGATTGCGCCACTGGGGCTGGTGAGAACAGTAGAGTTTTCAGGTCTACTATTACGAATTCTTCGAAGTAGGGTCAGAAAAAAATTTGCCCCAGGCGAGGCTCGAACTCGCAACCCGGCATCGCTCACAACACTGTTGTATAAGTACCGTGCGCTAACCGATTGCGCCACTGGGGCTGGTGGAAAACAGAGTTTCAGGTCTACAGTTAGGAATTCCTTGAAGTAGGGCCTGGAAAAAATGTGCCCCAGGCGAGGCTCGAACTCGCAACCCCGGCATCGCTCACAGACACTGTCGTATAAGTACCGTGCGCTAACCGATTAGCGCCACTGGGGCTGGTGAGAAGACAGAGTTTCAGGTCTACGGTTACGAATTCTTCGAAGTAGGGTCTGAAAAAAAATTGCCCCAGGCGAGGCTCGAACTCGCAACCCCGGCATGCTCACAGACAACTGTCGTATAAGTACCGTGCGCTAACCGATTGCGCCACTGGGGCTGGTGAGTACAAAAGAGTTGTCAGGTCTAGGTTGTGAATTCTTCGAAGTAGGGTCTGAACGGGTAAAAAATTTGCCCCAGGCGAGGCTCGAACTCGCAACCCCGGCATCGCTCACAGACACTGTCGTATAAGTACCGTGCGCTAACCGATTGCGCCACTGGGGCTGGTGAGAATGACAGAGTTTTCAGGTCTACGGTTACGAATTCTTCGAAGTAGGGTCTGAAAAAAAATTGCCCCAGGCGAGGCTCGAACTCGCAACTCCGGCATCGCTCACACACTGTCGTATAAGTACCGGCGCTAACCGATTGCGCCACTGGGGCTGATGAAACAACAGAGTTTTCAGGTCTACAGTTAGGAATATTCTTGAAGACGGGCTGAAAAAATGTGCCCCAGGCGAGGCTCGAACTCGCAACCCCGGCATCGCTCACAGACACTGTCGTATAAGTACCGTGCGCTAACCGATTGCGCCACTGGGTCTGATGAGAATTACAGAGTTTTTAGTTTGACAGTTTAGAATTCTTCGGACTCCGCGTGCGGGCGGTGCGGGTGTCGGCCTCCGCCACGACATGAGCGGGCCGCCAGCGACGGCCACCTCCAGGAGGAACAGCCCGAGGGCGAGGCAGTGGCCCTGGGCGAGGACGAGCAGTGCGGGGCGGAGGCGGCCGAGGTCGTCGGGTCGAGGCCGCCGCCGCACCTCGTCCTGGTTGGCGCCGGCGCCGCGCTCGGTGGCCTCGCCCATGACGTGCTTGGTGATGCCCACCTCGGTCATCCGCAGCACGACGTCCTGCGCCTTGTGCAGGTACAGTGTACCACGGGCAGCGCGAACACGGCCTCCACCATGTTGATGAGGCAGCCCTCCAGCGGGACGTGCCTGGAGCGGCCGGCCTCGTCGCGGCCCAGCGAGTCGTCCAGGAAGCGGCGCTCCAGCTCGGCGCACAGGTAGGCCTCGTCCGCGCTCGGCGCCACCCCCACGATGCCGGAGATGTTGTAGGGCTGGAAGCGGCGCAACAGCCGGTCGCCGCCAGGGGCCGAGGCCAGGGCCTGCATCGCCTGCGGAGGGAGGGAAGGAAAGCCTCGCTCAGAAAGAAGGGCCGAGGCCAGGGCCTCATCGCCTGGGTGCCACGCTCAAAACCAAGGGCCCCAGGCTGACGTACAACAACGGGGCCGTTGACGGCGATGTCCGTCTCGGCGAGCTGCTGCAGGGTGCGCAGCGAGTCCGGCTGCTGCGTGGCGGTGCGCAGGCTCTGCTGCACCGCGTGGTACGCCGTGGACATGATCAACGAGAAGAAGAGCCACTTGGCGAAGAGGAGGCGCTGCCGCGTGTTGGCCTGCGAACCACTCCACTGGCAATGAACCACACCGAGGACCTGCCCGCTGGCCGTTGAACTGACTGTACTCAGCAAACTCCACAGTATGCGTACTCAGTACGCCGTCCTCTTTGGCGTGTACTCAGACGCTCTTGGTAGCGCACTCCTGAGTACACGCCGAGGAGAGTACACTGTTGGGTTTGCCAGCACCTTGGTTCGCCGCATGCCGGGCGCGCCGGGCTGCATCGAGCCGAACGTGGCCGCCAGCAGCAGGAAGCTGACGTCCTTGTGCTTGACGGCGAGGCGGCGGCACCACGCCCCACGCGGGCGGCGGCGGCGACGATCTCGGCGGCGACGGTCCAGGGCCGCGTCGAGCGTCAAGGCGACGCTGATGGCCACGAAGGTGGCGACGACGAGTGCCCACACGGGCTGCGTGAACTCGTCCAGCAAGAGGTGCCAGGCGGACGCGGGCCGCCACCGCCGCGGCACGCACGCCGTGTAGCACGAGGAGCGCGACGTGAGCGGCACCTCCTGGCCCGGCTGCGGGATGGTCCGCACCACGTACACGTCGGCCGGCGGCACGCTGCAAGCCAAGGAACGCGAACCGCTCACGAAGCAGCCGAAGTGCGTCAAAGTTATGTCAAAATTATGGTTTTGGCGGAATTTTGGGTTGAAGCATTCAGATTGACAGCAAATGATGTATTGATAAGTCTTTCATGTTCCTTGCGAAGTCGGTTCGATCAGCTTCTTTATGATCCCGGTCGGGCCGTTGACCAAGGCGACGGCGCACTGTGGGGCAGGTGGCCAAAACTCTGGACTCGTTTTAAGCTCCAGAGTCGCTAAACAAGAGAACAATCCATTGGTGGGGTCCCATTTACGGAGTGACTCTGGAGCTCAAAACGCCTCCAAGATTTTGACCGCCTCCACCTGTCTCCTGGCCCACTGTGCGGCGCCCGCCACAGACCTGGAGGAGTTCAACCGGACGCCCCCGAGCTCCTGGTACGTGGTGGGCCTCAGGACGAAGCGCGCCTTCATGCCGAGTTCGAGCGCCCGCAGCAGCGGCACCCAGTGGCCCTGGGGCTCCCACAGCTCGGTGTCGTTGGAGGACGGCGACGACGCCCCTGCCGCGGGCCGCGCGGGCCGCAAGGACATGAAGGGCGCGTACTGCCTGACGGCCACGTTGAGCGGGCAGCCCTGCAGGTCGGACAGGGGCTGGTCCGGGAAGAGGGGCGGCGCCGTGTCGCCGCCGAAGCCGCCGCCGCGCACCCACCGCGCCACCAACAGGGGCCGCACCGGCGAGCGGCACCGCGTCGCCGCCGAGTACGGCCGGATGCGGTAGAAGAGCAGCGGGGCCTCCACGTCGGCGCCCGGGACGTCCATGGACACGACGCGGAGGCGGCTGACGGTGAAGGCGGCGTGCAGCGCGTTGAAGGCCGTCCTCTGCCCGGGGTCGGCGTCCGCGTACGGCCAGGACGCGATGTATCTGCGCACGCAGAACACGTGTCTATTGACCCCACGCCGACAGGGGCGCGGCGTGCCGGGCTTGCGCAGAGATTTCGGAAGAGCGGGCAGCAGATTGTCTCCTCATCACTACCTCGGGTGGTTGCTTTGGCAGACGGCGACGAGCTGGACGATGGACTTGTTGGAGGGGGCCACGAGCAGAACCAGGTCGCGCTCCCCGAGGTTCGGCCCGCAGGCCTCGGTGCGCAGCAGGGCGGCGTCGTCCAGCGGGCTGCTGGCGTCCCAGAGAGTGTGCGGCCACTCCTCCCAGGGCCACGGCCCCGCCGCGCCGCTGGCCTTCGCGACAACGAACGCATTGCAATCTTTCATTTTTTTTTTGAAACTTTCTACTTTTATTGCAGATCGCGTGGCCCCAGACCTGCAGGCACAGCTGAGGGAAGCCGCACAGGACGTGCAGTGTGGTGAACGCGGCCGCCGCCCGGAAGACGTCCCGCAGGGCCTCGGCCCAGAGCTGCCGGCCGTCGTTCGCCCGCTCTGCCTGCTCGGGCCCCACTTGGAACTGGAACGCCGCCGCCGTCATCGAGACCCGAAGGAGCTGCGCCCCGAGTGTGGACCTCATGCTGCGCCCTTGGATCCCACCCTACAGTGTGGTGCGCGTGGCCCTTTCGCTTTCGACCGGGGAAGGCCAGGGCTGGGCCTCGAGGCCGATTGGTGTGTGTGTTTGTGTGTGTGTTCCTTTGCGACGACCGGTCCCAAGTGGGAGTGGAAGCGTGTGATTGGCCGACCAACTGCCGGAGCGGCAATGATGCCGAAAATTGGAATGTAATGGAGACGAGCTGGCTGGCCCTCCACCGGCGTTCGACCCTAGAGCCCTATAGGTCCAAGAGGGGCATTAAGGACTCTATTCGACCCCCATCATGCCTTTGTATTTTTCATGTTTGTAAGGCCTGTGAAAGTGGTCTATGATGGCCTTCCCTACAGTGTGGGTAATGGATGTAGCGCCTATCGTTCTAGTAATTTCCTAGCAACCAATGGGTGACATGAGTTCGCACTTCACCTCCAGCATTAGAAACCAAGTGAGACTTGCTGCAGGGGGTGGCAACGCCCTCCACCTTTCTTGACACCATGTTCGACCCCCCCTTGCACATTAGTTTACTCCAAAATACAAAGTTCAATAGGTCTAAGCTGTTTTGTCATTACGATAATATGAATTGAGAAAGTGTTTAAGCCAGGTTTCAATTCAAAGGCTCAAAAACTTTCCCAAATTAACGTTTTGAAACTATAAGTAGTCACTTTTCTTATACCGTTTTTTGCCAAACCCCATTTTTCACTTGTTTTTGCAATGCAGTTTTGAGGGGTGAATTGATCGTTAGTGTACTCACGTTTAATTGTTACTCTAATGTGGCATTTTAACTTGATGCTGCCCTCAAGTTTCAATCGATTCCATTGCAGGTCTCAGAGAGTATCTCCTTGAAATGACGTCAGAATAAGTGAACAGCGTTGCCATCCCCTGCTTGCTGATAGAAAGAGTATTTGCAATCAGAGTCAAATAATGAACTATGGAAAAAAAATCAAAGACAAGTTTTGTTCTCTTTTTATTATATGAAAAAATAGACTAGATTGAACATTTTAAGAAAAGAGACATCATGAGGTGCTCGTAGCTTTGAAGGCAGTCATTTTTTCTTGGAATACTGTAGTAGTGTGGTCGCACACTTTAGCCAGGTCCTCCAGCCCTCTCCGTAAAATGTCAACAGCTCGAGGACCATTAGTCTGAATGCGGAAGTGCATTTTAGCTTCAGCTGGATGTGGCACAGTGTAGCCGCAGAACATTACTTCAGGATAACGGACAATGATGCAACGAAGAGCGTTGCCTAAAGTATGGCCCTCATCTTGAAAGACGAATGTTCTTGACTTCTCTCCAAATGCTTCGTCACCAGCGAGCTCAGCTAATCTCATCTTGAAAGATGTGACTATTTTCAATTGTTTCTAAACAGTTCCCAGCCAATCCAAGACCACAGGCTGAAGAAAAGTCGCACTGGGAGGACAATGAGAATCAACAGAAAGTAGTACACCTCTGTGCTCATGGATATCCCTGCAACAATCAAGAGTTAAAAAAAAATTAGACAACTTCGTAATCATGTCATACCATGGAGGCACGCCACACCTTAAATGTCAAAGCAGTCACAAGTGGATGAATCTTTGAATTGATTTTGGGGTAAGAAGCGCATTCTTTACTTTTGCAACCAAATACAAATATGAAGACAAAATCTCTAAAAATATGTGGGTGTTTTAGATTCTACATGATCAAAATATAAACTCACAACATAACCTAGACCCTATCACGTGTCGGCTCGTTAATGGTGATAAGAACACACAAAAAAAGATGCCCCAAGAGCGTCAACTCTAACAGCAAAGCTAATCTCATCATAGAAATAAAATCTCACCTTCTCCGGAGTTCTATGCGACCGTTAAGAGCTTAAATACAGCCGTCAAAATATTGTAAACAAGGGAGAGGGGAGCAAAATCTACATGGCTGTGACTGTGATGATTTCGTCTGCCAGTGGCGTCTGCTGTGCCCCCTCGACCGTCAACAACATCGATGGCCGTGAAGATGACGAAGCACATTTCTTTCTTTTAGTGGCGTCTTTCGCGTTTCTCCGAGAAAATTCCATCGGGAAAGAGTAAAATGCCGATGGAAGGGCGTAAAAGTGACAGGAGATCTTCTCATGGAAGTCAGGTATTGCCCTCGCAGCTTTCCGGTGGGAAGAGTAAGGTTAGAATCGTACAAACATTCTTTGAATCAAATATGCTTATAACGCTAAGATTCAGTGCCATGGCATAAAAAGGTTACATGGTCCTGTTTTCAGCCTATGAATTCAATAGGTGCAATAAAAAAACCTGTAGCAAATAAGCTAAAGATTTTTTTATCACTTTTTGTATACATTGAAACATATCAATATTGAATCAAAGACTTTTGTTGATCAAAACAGTTATTCATCCCCCCAATCTTGTCCCTAAGGGAAAAGGGAAACAGATCATTAATCTTTACACAACTTTTTTGCAGGCTCCTCTGTCTCCAGGACCTGTTCTGGACATCAGTGATGATGAGCTCGTATCAATTTCTGTACGTGATCTCAACAGGCAGCTAAAGTTGAGGGGCTTGTCAAGAGATGATATTGTTCGCATGAAACAACGTCGCCGTACTCTAAAAAATCGAGGATATGCAGCAAGGTTTGATGCTACAGCCTACTTTCATTGTTTTTGCTTAACATTGAATGTGTATCCAATCTTCTCTAACAATTTACTTTCAGCTGCCGAATTAAGCGAATTGAACAGAAGGATGAATTGGAAACTGAAAAGTCTCAAGAGTATCGTGATATGGAACTGATGAGTGAAGATAATGATGCTATGCGACTTGAGCTACAGACTCTTCAAGCAAAGTACGAAGCCCTGAAAGCATTTGCGTTATCCAAGAAAATCCCAATCCCTCCTGAGCTTGAAACCTGCCGTTAAACGAAGCAATTTGACTTTATCTTACTTGTGATATTGTGATAAGATTCTTTATTATTACGTTAATTTTAGGTGTTTATAGGGAGAGACTGTATTATTATTTTATTTCACATTATTTTTAAGCAATATCATGGGGGTATGATTCATTTGTAAAAGTATAATTGCATTGAGAGAAGCATCACATTATTGTACCTTTGTTCCATTACTTTACCAAGTTCAAAATAAACATGTCTAAAATTTATTTGTTTCCTTATACTTGATAGAACTGGCGGAAAAAATTTCCCTCCAACTCCTCCTGAAAAACCCAGGGTTACTACATTGTAGCTAGACATGATGACATGCCTGTTTCTACACTGGTTCCAACAATGGGAATGGAAAATGCCAGTATTGTTGGTGAAAGGAGACCTTCCCCTTAAAATTTCTGTGTATTTTTGTGTCCAGCACCTAACTGAGAATGCCTAGTTCAAAAGAGGAATTCCAGACTGCTTTGAAAGAAATTGCATACTTTTCTCCAACTCTTGACTCACCCTATGGTGATATTTCACTTGAACTCTGAATTCAGTTTCACTGCTAAGTTGGGCAGGCACTTATTTGTATGTCTTTTAGATCGGGTGCGTCTGGCAGAATGGGTTCGTCGCCTTGTACTTGAGGCCAAACAAAGTGATCCCAGTTGCTATTTGGTGAACCCGTATGCCCAGTTACTGAGAATTCAAGCTCGAGCTGGTCACCTACGCTCTCCTTTTCTTTCTCCTCCTAACCCTGGTACTATTCCACCACTGGCTGTGACCCTTGTAAGTAAAATACATTTAAGATCAAGGGGGTCGTGTCAGTTGAAATAATTCTCAGACTAAGAGCATATTCCTTCCAATAGTTATTTAATTTAAAAAGCATTTACAGGGCATATTTTAATATAAATATTGTGATAGATAAACATACAACAAAACAAAACACGTTTGCAGGGCAGAGAAGTGATGACATCAGTGCCGACACTCCCAACACCTGGACCCACGGCACCATTTATGTGCAGAAAATCCAAGGACGGTCATGCTTACATAGCAGCCAGGCAGGTACCAGGGAAGGGTGTCTTGTGTTACCTGGCAGTCAGCACCCAAGGCTTGGGAACAAATTAAAATTATAACAAATCACTAATGACTAAATAAAGAATATGAAGGAATGAATAAATCGTTTGGTTAAACATGTATTTATATCTTAAAAAATGACTTGAACAGCAGTCAACAAAGGGATCACAAAAGAAATTGCATCTACAAAAATTAAAAGAAATGGAGACAGGCCATATTGATAGGATTCAGTCAAAACTAATAAGTTCTTCACTTTCTCTCTTCACATCCGAGCGAGGCCCCATCGGGCCCCCAACTTGCTGCTGCATCGGAACGGGGCCCATGCCAGGCATGTGGTGCTGGGGCATACCAGGCTGCATACCAGGCTGCATACCAGCCATCTGCCCGTGCTGAGGAGCAGTAGGACCCAACTGCCCCATTGCAGGTCCAACCATCTGGCCAGGGTGAGGACCTCCAGGGCCCATGTGAGGTGCTTGTGGGCCATTGGGTCCCATCATCTGCCCTGGTTGGTGTCCTACTGGGCCCATCTGGCCGGGCTGAGGTCCGCTATGACCCATTTGACCAGGTTGAGGACCACCATGACCCATTTGACCGCCATGACCCATTTGGACGGGTTGATGACCTCCAGGACCCATTTGGCCGGGTTGAGGTCCTCCAGGTCCCATTTGTCCAGGCTGAGGTCCTCCAGGTCCCATCTGCCCAGGCTGAGGTCCTCCAGGTCCCATCTGCCCAGGCTGAGGTCCTCCAGGTCCCATCTGTCCCGGCTGAGGTCCTCCAGGTCCCATCTGTCCCGGCTGAGGTCCTCCAGGTCCCATCTGCCCCGGCTGAGGTCCTCCAGGTCCCATCTGCCCCGGCTGAGGTCCTCCAGGTCCCATCTGCCCCGGCTGAGGTCCTCCAGGTCCCATCTGTCCCGGCTGAGGTCCTCCAGGTCCCATCTGCACAGGCTGTGGTCCTCCAGGTCCCATCTGTCCAGGTTGAGGTCCTCCAGGGCCCATTGGGTGACCAGGCATCATTCCTGAGAATTTAAAAATGTTAAGTGAAAATGTGGTCAAAATTGTGTTGAATGCTGTTCAGTTAGTGCTGAAATGATATTTCAGTCCCTCCCTAACTCACCTGGAGGCATATGTCCAGGGAAGGACATCTGATGTCCCATGTACTGTGGATGTCCTTGCTGGGAATACATGGAGGGAACTTGCACTGGGCCAGAGTAGGACGGCACACTGGAAGGAGGCAGGCCACTGGGATGCACGCCACCTGGTGGTATCCCTCCAGGGCCAGGCGGCATGAAGCGATTGTATGGTGTGCCACCATACTGAGAGTACTGCTGCTTCTGCTGTTCTTGCCGCATCTGCATCTCCCGCTCTTGTTCTTGAATTCGCTGAAGCGCTAGCTGCCTTTGATACTACAAAACAGATGATAAAATGTATTTAAAATATATTGACCAACCTTAGAGATACCCAAGAATTCGGACATAAAGAATTGAAAGCCCACCTGAAGGTACTCCTGCTTCTTTTGCCTCATGATGTCCAGCTTTTGTGCCATTTGCATTTGACGTATTTTTTCTGCTTCTTCAGCTTGTTGACGTAACTTCTCTCTGTGTTCAAAACGTAGTGCATCTAATGCAGCCCTTGCATCCTTTACTTGAGCCAACTTATCTTGCAGCCCTTCATAATAAACTGAAACAAACCAATAAAACTTATTGGTAACAAATATGATGATATAATATTATTGGTTGCTGCATGCAGAATTTCAACCAACTGACCTCTGTTGTCATCCTGTTGTTGGATATATCGCAGCAAGCGGGAATGCATGGCAGTGATGTTCATGAACAAAGTTTGAACTGAACTGTCATTAGCTATGCTTCTGCCTCGGGAGGAATTAGACTTCATACGATTTACAAAAATTTCCACTTGGCTCCTCAGTGTGTTCACAAATTCATCAATTTCGCTGTCCTCTCCAACTCCATTTTGTTGTAACTTGAAGGTGGAGTCTAAAACTGCAGCATTATTAATTGTTGCAGAACTTGTAGTTATTTTGTTAGCTGTACTGGATAATTGATGAGAACTCTGCAAAATTTACATGACAGTTAATTCCTTGTCATAAAAAACCAAAGTCATATTTTTTTTAAAGGTATTTTTCAAAGTTAAATATTTACATACCGGAGCACTTGACACAGGCTGAGTAGACATGGAAGAGTTATTTAGATGTGTGGGAGCAGAAGGTACTTTGTTAGTTTCCTCCTTATTTTTCTGATCCCAATACGATCGGTCCAGATACCTGGCCATCTCAGGGTCTTGTTCTGCATGCATGACTGGCTCAGACTGAAAGTGCGACAGGGAAAACCACACAATGAAAAAAAATGGGAAACTGACATAATCCAGAATATTCAATATGTGTCATAGTCAAACCTTTACTGCTGCGAGATGGGAACTCAAGGATGACAGGTGAGGAGACTTGGATTTCTAGTTGCAGTAAAATATTAAGATAGTAAATGAAATAATAAACATTAAATTAAGAAAAAATTACTGTTAAAATTTAAGTAAGTTACCGATTTCTCTTTCTCTTCAGCCTCTGACTGAGAGAGTGCAATGGCTAATTGCAATTCTTCCTCTTCGCGCAATTCGTCCTCGGTACGGCGAGGTGCAGTCTAAACAATTGGCAGAAACAAAATTAGTCAGTTAACTCATCAATAACTTATATTTTGTGGACCGACTGAAACTCTCAAACCATCACCTGGCTTTGTTGAGAAAGAGAGCTGTTCAAATATTCAGCAGGCAAATCAGTTTCAACCTTGGAACTTGATGTTGGGGCTCGGCTAAAAATTTCAAAGGCAGACAAGTGAGGTAGGTGCAAGCTTAACAGGAAAAAAATATCTATCTAATAGACTGGACAATTACCTATTTATTTGGTTGTAACACTGATCACAGACACGAACTTCTTTCTCAATACCAAACTTCGGCACAAGTGATGTCTTGGAAGAGCACTGACCACAGAAGACCTGGCCACAAGCCCTGCAGTGATGCTGAAAATGTCAGACCCAATAGATGAGAAGAGGTATTACAAGATTATAGATAGATGATTATAAGTCGAATATTTGGAAAGTAAATTACCTTACGAATGACTAAAGTAAATGGTGTGCGACAACTGAAACAAACAGTTCCCTCAGCCCATTCAGGAGCAGTTTCAGCTTTGAACATAGCATCACTTTCTTTCAGAGGAGGAAATGCATGACCTTCAGCTTTCATAATTGCCACAATATCCTTAGAAAAAAAAAAACAAGGGATCTTATCAAAGAGTTCACAAGAAACAGTCAGCAATGTCGAAATAAAAATAGGCAGTCATGTACCTGGACAGCACGATACTTGGCATTGTTACGGAATGCAAAGGCCCACGCTTGTAAAAGCTCAACAATTTTATTTTTCACTATGTCATGAGGGGTTGTCTTGTGAAGTTCCCTCAATTGTTCCATATAATTTATAGTCCCAACTTCATTGTGAATTGGACTCCCACAATTTTTCACAACAGACTCCAAAACCTACACAGACGAAACATGAGTGTTAAGAAAACTGAAAACATTATACAGAAATAAAGTAGTACAGGAAATGAGATTGAGGAAAATCATACCAATAAACCAAAATTGGCGACATGCGGGTTGTCATGAGTTATCTTCTTGTTGATCGCTGCTAAGGCTTGCTTCGGCCTGTAAAAGAAACAAAAAACACGTAAATATCTAGTCTAGAAAAAGAGGCCAAAGGTGAAGCAAACAGACAAGGAAAGAAATTAGGTGAAGGCGGAAAATGTGTATTTTAATTCATACTTACGGGCAGTCGCCCTGACGAATAGTGTCACAGATTTGAAGGATAGTTGAATAGTTGGGGTCTAATTGGCAATGGTCGGTTGCTTTATCTGAAACAAAGAAGTGACGCTAGTACAGTACAAAGTACACTCGGTCTGAACTGGAAAACATCTCCAAAGGGCATTAACCTAACCATGAAAAGTGACGGTCTCTCAAAGGAAGACAACTATCGTAGTATCAAACTGCGCAGCATGCTTACATTAAATGTGCACATCTAAAGTTACATCAGAGAGAAATTGGTGCAATGAATCATAACATTGGCCGAAGGTTGCAATTGACAGCGGGTCTCCCAAACAACAGAACAAGGAAAGATAGACCCAGAACAAAGCAGCTTACCAAGTAGTTTTTCTATACCGCTACTTCGGAACATTTCGAGTGGAAGTTCCAATAGCAAAACCCGTTTCGAAAGGACAAGATTGACAAGACAGGCTGCGCACTGAATGATGAGACCAAACAGACAAACGATGAAATCATAAATATGACGTCATCATCAGCTGACATCCAATTTTGAAGAGATGGGACCGGATCTAGTACGGAAGGCCGATGACAACGCACTCTGGCGGCCATTTTTGAAACAACTTCAAACCTTAGTCCAAGTTCAAACTGCGCAGGGCATTTTACCGAAGGCATTTATAATTCTCCTGATTTTACAGCAGCCACGAATAACTTTTTTTATGATCGGTTCTACTGTTCTTAGAGGACAGTACGCGCGCCATTCTGTGCTTTGAACTTTGACATCCGGTTCAATCTCCAGTAAACTTTACGAAACGATTAGAAGTGAAAACTCAAAGGCAGAGCACAGCAAAGCCAACCAAAGAAAACAATATTTAACTTTTTTTTTGAAAAAACTGTTTCAAAAATGCAGAAAATTTAGTAAAGATTACGTTCAAAAACGATTTGAAATTTGTTTTAATTTGATCTAGTACATACGTCTTGACTCAAGATGTCAAAATGGGTAAAGTGTCAAGTACTTCAAAGATGGTACTACCGCTGAGCAAGTATCAACAAGTTTTGAGAGTCCGATTTGCGCGCCAGTTCTTGCACCATCAGTGAAGTCTGATGAATTTCTATACATTTAAGGGCAGTTTTAAGCCTCTACTCGGATAGTGGCCAATTTCCTTTTGTTTGGCTTAAACTGATAGTTCTTTTGCCAGGTACAGCAATGAATGTCCTTCTTTTATTCTAATTTAAGCTCGTTGCCTCTGTCGGCTCCCTGCACTAACCTCCACTCACAAACACATACTTTCACAGAATTTATTTTTTTTAGCATTGCTCATGTGTTGTTCGACTTTCATGCTATTTTGTTTCTGTTAAACGTCATGTCTTTTTCATTGTCACAGGATGGTTTCGTCAGTCTTGTCAGCTGAGTTAGCTGCCACTTGCAGTGCTCTTGGGTATTCCGATGGGAACAAGTATTACATTGATAAATTTTGTAAAGGTATTAATCTGCTCATTTATTTATAGAACCTCACGTTATATGCTATTTAAGTTCGTTATTGTGTTTTAAATTTTCACCATCCGTTTACAGAGACTGTGAAAGATCTCATCAGATATTTGCGTCATGATGATGAGAATCATGAAATACGGCGTTTTCTGGGAGAAGCCAAAGTTTTGGTCACTGATTTGCTTCCATTGATAAAGCATTACAATGAAGATGAAGACCTATTTGATGTCACGTTGAGGCAAGTTTGCTGCATCTTAGATTTGAACTGTTATCAGTTATCATTCAATCTGATTTAATCTAACAACATTGTGTTCTGATTTTGTTTGCTTCAGACTTTTGGTTAATTTGACAAATCCTGCTCTTCTTCTTTATCGAGAAGAATTACCTGCTGAAAAGACATCACGGAATTATTACCTTCAAATTATATCTCAACTGCAAAGCTACAAAGAAGCATTTAATGAAGAGGGCATTTGGGCTATTTTGTCCAAAAAGCTGAGTGATATTCTTCAAATTGTGAGTGCCATACAAACTCTCTGTTGTATTGTTTTGAAAATATTGATTTGTACATGTTTTTCCTTTTGTTTATATCAAAACTCAAGGATTCTGATGAGCGTTCTGAGGAAAAAGCCATGGTGATGGAGAGGATTCTTGTATTGATTCGAAATATTCTCCAAGTACCAGCAGATCCAGATGCTGAACGTAGACCAGACAATGATGCAAGTGTGCATGATCAGGTAATCAAATTTGTTTTTAACATCTCAGTATGTAAAGGTTCTGCAAGGGCTGTTGGAATACTGCCTAGGCATAAATCATCATCTTTTTTTTTCACTTTAAGGTGTTGTGGGCTCTTCATCAGTCCGGCTTGGTGGATCTTATTTTGTACATGAGTAGTTCTCAAAATGAGCAAGCATATTTCATGCACAATCTGGAAATAGTATCCTTGATGCTGCGTGATCAAGAACCGTCAGAACTTGCCAATGTTGCAATGGAAAGAAGCACGCAAGAAAAGGAAAAGGATGAGATGGCCCTGCTTCAGGTTCGAATGAAAGAGCAGGAAATTCGCCAAACCAAGACCAAACAATACACTGGAGCTAGGTTTGATCAACATCTACAATTTTTTTTGTTAAAATGATATTTTTTGATTATTTTTATCATTATTATTATTATTAATATTATCATTATTATTTTATTACAATGTTTCAGGCATTCACGATTTGGAGGCACCTTTGTTCTGAGCAATGTTAAATCCATAAGTGACAATGATATGATTTTGTATAAGCCAATCAGTAAAGTAGACAGCCTTACTTTCTCAGATAAAAAAGTATGTATACTGCATTTTAATTTCTAAGATGAATCTTGTGTAGCTGATGTTTAAGTTACCATTTTAGCAGTTGTATGTTGGTAAAAACTTTGTCTTCATTTAGAAGTTTTCCATACTTTCTTTTTAACTTTCAGAACAAAACTAAGAGGCCAAAGAACAAAGTCCCTATGAAGGGAGATGACGATAAGAGAAGGTCTGCCTTCAGTGTTCGATTGTTTCTCAAAGAATTTTGTGTTGAATTCTTGAATGGCTCATACAACAGACTGATGCACTATGTCAAGGTAAGTCATTATTATATCACTCAACCACTTCTCTTCAAATCAACTTTGACTCGTTCTTTCAATTTCTGAGAACATTTCCTAAACTTTCAGGACTGTCTGATTAGAGGAGTTGCCCAACCAAACGATGAATCCTTCTACTTGTGGGCAATCAAGTTTTTCATGGCTTTTAATCGAAGCTACAAGCTTCAAGTGAAACTTGTCAGTGAAACAATGAACATCCAATGCTTTCACTGGGTTCAGTCACAGATAGAACATTCCCATGCAATGATCAGTACTGACAAGAAAAAAATCCATATTTGGTCACGACGCATGCATCTTGCTCTTCGAGCATATCAAGAATTGATAAGTTCCTTGGCTGCCATGGAACTTTCCCCTGATACTGACATTCGCAAATCTGCTCAAGTTATCCAAGGCAACCTATTCTACTTGGTTGAGTACCGGGAGCTCCTCTTGACACTCATCCATTCTTATGATGAGGTCAAATTGTCCAGGTGAGTCTTGCACTTTTTCCATCTTTTCTCTTTCTCATGGCTACTCATATTATCAAAACTAATGCAAAATTATCCATATTTTCCCCCAGGAGCTATTTGAAAGATTTGGTTGAAACACTCCATGTATACATGAAGCTGATGGAACACTTTTGCAAAAAACAGAGAGGCATTGTGGTTCAAAATAAGGGCAAGCAGAAGAGGCAAAGGAAGGCCAAAAGTAATATCCTGGATCCCTCTTGGATATTATTACTTTATGACCTACATCTATCCCTCAATGTCAATTTGTTTTTGTTTTTCAGAATCAGCTGCACCCAAGAAAAACACAGCTGACGTCCCTCCATCCAATGAAGAGCTTTGGGATGTGGTTGCTCCTCAGTTGTCTGTTGTGCTTGCCAATGGCACTATTCCTGAGGATGTCATTCCTTTCGATGCTGCCTCTGACAAAGATATCGAAGATCAGAGGTGAGGTCTCCTTGCTCTTTCGCTCATGCAGTGGCGGATCCAGAGCCAACCTGGAGGGGGTGGGGGGAAGTGCCTTCTGACAGATGCAAAGTTTTCAAAAGTTTTGCTTTTGGCCTACCTTTAGGCGGCTATTAAGGTGATGAAGGGAGACATTGCTCGTCAATTGGTGTACTGAAGGAGTTTGTTTTTCTGTTCCAGGGTGGACGCCATGCGCCGCATCCACACTCTCCTGAAGCAGCACAACTTTGAAGACGCGGTCGCCATGATGCGAGCGTCGCGGTGAGTACACTGCGCGCGTCGCGTGCTGTTGCTTTTGGCGCGGTGTGTACCAGTGTACCCGCAGCCTGATTGCGAGAGTCGTCCTCGTCGCTCTGTCTCTCTCGCTCCGCCCCGGAGAGAGACAGAGCGACGAAATGGGCTCTCGGTCCTCATGTCAACCCCTTGGTTCCGGCAGGGAGGTGTGGCCCGAGAACGACGTGTTCGGCAGCGCCCACATGGCGCCCGAGGAGGAATTCGCCGCGCTTCGCGAGGTCTTCTTCGCCGACATTGCACGTGAGTACAGGCTTATTGGCTGCGCTGCGACCCCCTGCAGGCCCTGCAGGGCCCTGCTGGCAGTGTGCTCGCAGACTGGCCCTTTCGCCCTGCCCGTCCATGCCCTTTGATGTCCGCAGTCCCACAGTCCGTGTGTCCGGCCTGAGCCTCGGCCTCGGCCTCCCCCTGGAAGTGGCCGCCGCTCGCGCCGCCACGCCGCCACCACGAGTCATCTCGAGTGGGCGGGGCCGGGCGGGGCCGGGCAGGCCGCCGGGGACTGCATCTCTCTCCGCGACCATCCCCCGCGCACCACCACCACGCACTTTTTGAGGGCGCGGGGGAAGGGGCGCTCACGTCGTGGAGCTCTTAGAAGGGCTCTGCTGACACGCCGTTGTTTGTGTATAGCTGGGGGAGGCCGGAGCGGGAGGGGGCGGCTCTCCCTGCCCTTTTAAACAGAATATACTGACCCGTGCTGCGTGGCAGGCGGGGCAGGCCGGGCAGGCCGGCGGGGCCGAAGGCAGGGAGGCTTTGGTGGCCCCCTCACTGAGGGGTTTCTTGGTTCGAGCCGGGGCGCGGCCCAGGCGTGGCCCAGGCGTGGCCGAGGCGGCCAAGGCATGGCCAAGGAGGGGACGGGTCCCGAAGAAGTAGGAAGAATTCTCGACCGTCCCTGCCGGGGCGTGCCACGGCGTGCCAGGGACTCCCTGGCCGCCCCATGCCTCACCTTCACCCTGTGCCTTACCTTTCCATGCCATTCCTCACCTTTCCATGCCGACCACTCCCCCCCTCCCCCCTCTTTCCACTCGGCGCGTCTAGTGCCAGGACCGCCTCGGCACGGCACGGCATGGCACGGCACGGCACGGCACGGCACCCTCTCCTACTGGACTTATGGGGCTTATCTCCCCCGTGTTCCTTCCCTCAAATTCCTCCGCCCCCGCCCCGCTCTCTTCTCTCTGTCTCTCTCTTTTTTCCGCACGCCGTTTGGACACGACTAAAACCTCCCTCTTGCTTTCTGCATGGTGGCACGGCGGGGCACGGCGGGGCTCGCGGCGCATGCGGGGGCGGCTATTGACTTGTGCATACATTGTGGGGGAGGCTGCGCCGCGCCGTACGGCCCACCAAACAAAGCATGATTCGCGGAGCGAGCGAGCGACCGCAGGGAGCTCGCTCGGCGGAGCGCCACTCGCCCATGTGATCTGTCTAAGGCCGTTTGTCACGCTTCCTGACCAGTCTGTCACAAAAGCCGGGTCACCCTTTGACAGATTCGACCGTCTGTTTTAGATCGGGCTGTTGGTCACGCTGACCTGGTCACGCTGTCACGCTGACCTGGTCACGCTGTCACACTGACCTGGTCACGCTGTCACGCCGGCCTGGCCACACTCTTACGCTGAACTGGTCACGCTTAGTTTGAGAATAAGATCTGTCAGGAGTAGGCTAAGGTTTGTCGCGAGTAGAGTAAGACCTGTCACAAGCCCGTTAGGTTTCGTAAGGATTGGTTGGACCATTTAGTTTGAGAATGTGATCTGTCACGAGTAGAGTAAGATCTGTCACGAGCCCGTTAGGTTGGGTTAGGATTGGTTGGACCATTTAGTTTGAGATAAAGATCTGTCGAAAGTAGGGAAAGATCTGTCACGAGTAGAGTAAGATCTGACACGAGCCCGTTAGGTTAGGTTAGGATTGGTTTGACAATTTAGTTTTAGATCATAAAGTACCCATCCTTCGATTCAAGGAGAAACCAACCTTTGTCGAATCATAATCCTTCGTGTGAATGCATTCTTTCTGGCTATCACCGGCCAAAATGAAAAGAGACCCATTTTCAAAATAAAGACATCCAAATTTACTACTGATAAAAAAGCATTTCCATCTCCAGCAGAATCCAGGTCAGCATCGAGGCCGAATGTCTTCCCCTCGGTAGTAAGTTACCTTAGGTTTGGTTTTGTTTCTAGTTAGGGTCACGGTGCCACGCTGACCTGGATACGTTGTCACGCTGACCTGGATACGTTGTCACGCTGAACTGATCACGCTGTCACGCTGACCTTGTCACGATGCCCTAGTCACGCTGTCACGCTGACCTGGTCACGCTGACGTGGTCACGCTGTCGCGCTGTCCACGCTACGCTGTCACGCTGACCTGGTCACGCTGTCACGCTGACTTGGTCACGCTGTCACGCTGACCTGGTCACCCTGCCACGCATACCTTGTCACGCTGACCTGGTTACACTGTCACGTTGACCTGGTAACGCTGTCACGCTGACCTGGTCACGCTGTCGCGCTGACCTGGTCACGCTGTCACTCTGACCTGGTCACGCTGTCCTTGTCACGCTGTCACGCTGACCTGATCACGCTGTCACCCTGTCTTGGCCACGCTGTCACGCTGCCCTTGTCACGCTGTCACACTGACTTGGTCACGCTGTCACGCTGACTTGGTCACGCTGTCACTCTGACCTGGTCACGCTGTCACGCTGACCTGGTCAGGCTGACGTGGTCACGCTGTCACGCAAACCTGGTCACGCTGTCACGCAAACCTGGTCACGCTGTCACGCTGACTTGGTCACGCTGTCACGCTGACCTGGTCACCCTGCCACGCATACCTTGTCACGCTGACCTGGTTACACTGTCACGTTGACCTGGTAACGCTGTCACGCTGACCTGGTCACGCTGTCACGCTGACCTGGTCACGCTGTCACTTTGACCTGGTCACGCTGTCACGCTGTCCTTGTCACGCTGTCACGCTGACCTGATCACGCGGTCACCCTGACTTGGTCACGCTGTCACGCTGCCCTTGTCACGCTGTCACGCTGCCCTTGTCACGCTGTCACACTAACTTGGTCACGCTGTCACGCTGACTTGGTCTGGTCACGCTGTCACGCTGACTTCGTCTGGTCACGCTGTCACACTGACTTGGTCACGCTGTCACTCTGACCTGGTCACGCTGTCACGCTACCCCTGTCACGCTGTCACACTGACTTGGTCACGCTGTCACGCTAACCTGGCCATACTGCCACGCTGACATAGTCACGCTGTCTCAATGATCTGGTTACGCTGTCACGCCCGCCTGGTCACGCTGTCACGCTGACCTGGTCACGCCGTCACGCTGACCTGGTCACGCTGTCACGCTGACCTGGTCATGCCGTCACGCTGGCCTGGTCACGCCGTCACGCTGACCTGATCACGCTGTCACGCCGCCCTGGTCACGCTGTCACGCCCGCCTGGTCACGCTGTCACGCTGACCTGGTCACGCCGTCACGCTGACCTGGACACGCTGTCACGCTGACCTGGTCATGCCGTCACGCTGGCCTGGTCACGCCGTCACGCTGACCTGATCACGCTGTCACGCCGCCTTGGTCACGCTGTCACGTCGCCATGGTCACGTTGTCACGCCGACCTGATCACGCTTACCTGGTCACACTGCCAGGCTGACATGGTGACGCTGTCCCAATGATCTGGTCACGCTGTCACGCCGGCCTAGCACGCTGTCACGCTGACCTGGTCACGCTGTCACGCCCGCCTGGTCACGCTGTCACGCTGACCTGGTCACGCTGTCGCGCTGACCTGGTCATGCTGTCACGCCCGCCTGGTCACGCTGTCACGCTGACCTGGTCACGCCGTCACGCTGACCTGGACACGCTGTCACGCTGACCTGGTCATGCCGTCACGCTGGCCTGGTCACGCCGTCACGCTGACCTGATCACGCTGTCACGCCGCCTTGGTCACGCTGTCACGTCGCCATGGTCACGTTGTCACGCCGACCTGATCACGCTTACCTGGTCACACTGCCAGGCTGACATGGTGACGCTGTCCCAATGATCTGGTCACGCTGTCACGCCGGCCTAGCACGCTGTCACGCTGACCTGGTCACGCTGTCACGCCCGCCTGGTCACGCTGTCACGCTGACCTGGTCACGCTGTCGCGCTGACCTGGTCATGCCGTCACGCTGGCCTGGTCACGCCGTCACGCTGACCTGATCACGCTGTCACGCCGCCTTGGTCACGCTGTCACGTCGCCATGGTCACGTTGTCACGCCAACCTGATCACGCTTACCTGGTCACACTGCCAGGCTGACATCGTGATGCTGTCCCAATGATCTGGTCACGCTGTCACGCCGGCCTAGCACGCTGTCACGCTGACCTGGTCACGCTGTCACGCCCGCCTGGTCACGCTGTCACGCCGCCCTGGTCACGCTGTCACGCTGACCTGGTCACGCTGTCACACAGCCCTCGGCACGCTGTCACACTGACTTGGTCACGCTGTGACGCTGACTTGGTCTGGTCACGCTGTCACGCCGCCCTGGTCACGCTGTCACGCCGCCATGGTCACGTTGTCACGCTGACTTGGTGACGCGGACCTGGTCACACTGCCAGGCTGACATGGTGACGCTGTTTCAATGATCTGGTCACGCTGTCACGCCGGCCTGGTCACGCTGTCACGCTGACCTGGTTACGCTGTCACGTTGACCTTGTCATGCTGTCACGCTGCCCTTGTTACGCTGCCACGCTGACCTGTTCACACTGCCACGCTGTCCAGGCTACACTGTCACGCTGACCTTGTCACGCTGTCACGCTGACCTGGTCACGCTGTCACGCGGACTTGGTCACGCTGTCACGCTGACCTGGTCACGCTGACCTGGTCACGCTGTCACGCTAGGTGCCTAAAAGGAAACAGTTAAGAAGGGAGCGAGCGAGCGACGCGAATGAAACGAACGTAAGAATGCTAGACAAGACACCAGACGGCGACAACATAGTCAACGGGACATAACCATCGCGCCGCGAATGCACCGGGGGTGCTGGACTAGTAATAGCTCGGCCCCCGGTGTCGGCCCGCTCCCCCCGTCCACTCCCGCCCCTGCAGCGCCTGCAACCCCCGCATGCACCCCCCTGCCCCCCCTCCCCGTACAGTCGCAGCCTCCCATTGCGGCATGGCGTTCTATTCAGTCGTAGTCTCCCCCTTCCTCTACCCCCTTCCCTCTGGCCCCCTGCCCCCTCCCTCCTAACGGCCAAGCCTGTTTTTTCAGTGACGCCGTCCTTA